CAAAGCATAAAGAAAGCAATGATACAAACAGCAAAAGAAAGAACACAAAAAAAGTAAATAGAAATCATTTCATCCTGTTGTTGTCAGCTTCTATCTTCCAATGGCCTATCTATTCTACAGATCTCAGCCTCCTATGGAGTGGCTATTCCCAACAAGGAATGGCTAGCCCAGACACCAGCCCACAAATACCTCCCAAATCCTAGTACCTAGGTCTACTGTTATTTAACTCTGGTTTTGAAAATAGACTAACGGAGCAGTTACACGCTTTCCCCATTTCCATAACCTCTATCAATTCAAGTCTCCCACCCCTTCACAATCCCATATCAGAATCTAGCTCAAAACTCACCTCTTTCAGAACTTCCTTCATTCTGCCGTTTGTAGGACGCACCAGGACGCACGGACTCTATGGAAAGGTGGGCAGGGAGGAATTAACACCAGCACCTCTGTGCCCAAGAGGGACAAGAGAAGAACCCAGAAGTAGGAGTGATGAGAACAGGGACTTCTGAGCATTTTCTGGTGACGCTGAACTCTTTCCTACCCTACTTTCAAGTTGGGTTGCCTCAGCAATCACCACTGAAGGGGAATAAATAATGGGAGAAAAAATATCTCCGTTTAAGGCCAGAAACCAATGGAAACTGTCAGGGTAAGGCCAGCCAAGGATAACAAGAGCAGAAAGGAATGAGAAAAGGTTCACAGCAAGACAAGACACTGAAAGTTGACGACCAAGATCAAATTTTATTCATCACTAGAAGTACCTAGTCAAATTCTCTCCATCAATAAAGCTGACACTAGGAGGCCTGATAAAGGAGGACACCTGCATACACAGTCAAAAATGAAAGATGAATCACTCCTACAAGTTAAAAAAGGACACTGGTTGAGCCCCTAATTATCCCACATTTAGAATCTTGAAATATTCTGTTAGGTTCCTTGTCTGCAAACTCAATGATATGGATGGAATCATCTTTCTAAACAATCTAAATATACTAGTAAGTCAGGGTCCCAGGTATTTTTCCAGTAAGATATAAATTTCGTAAAAATGACGTCAAATCCTTCTACTACAGATCCCAAGTTGCCAATTTTACATTTTTTCTGAGAAAATAACATTTTTCCTGATTTGTTTTGGCATTATCAAGATCTTACCCTGAAATGTTTCAAGAAACATCATACGAATATCGCCATTTTACTCTTGCAGTGATGTTGAGGATGCAGAAACCTTTTCTCATTATTCACTGGTCTCTCTGGCAACTGGGAAGTTTTCTTTCTCCTGATAAGCTAATTTGTTTTTAATGTGAAGTACACTGTCGACACTATTCTTTTTTTTTTTTTTTTTTTTTTTTTTTTTTTTTNTTTTTTTTTTTTTTTTTTTTTTTTTTTTTTTTTTGAGATGGAATCTCACTCTGTTGCCCAGGCTGGAGTGCATTATTTAATCCTATTTTATTAAGAGTTTATTTCATTAAGCTGCCTCAAATTCTTTCTCGAATCAAAATAATGGTGATATTTCAGAGAAAGGTACTGGAGCCTTAGGCCAATTCATATTAGCTCCTGAGAGTGGACTGCATGCAACCCTTCAAAACTTTGTCTTCAGTTGCTCCATGTTGGTAGCTGAACTACGATGAGAGTATTCACTCCACAGGTATCAGCAAATGCTAAAAATCTTATCTTTATAACCTTGGAGAGTCAGTTTACCAATACACCACTGTGCATGTTTTTGATTTTTATTCCAAACTTCAGAGACGCTGTAGGCATTACCACATGTAATTACAGATTCCCAATAGTACTGTATTAGGTAGGCTTGGACTATTTAACAATCTTCTAACAGACTAGTAAAATTACCCAGCTAAATTACAGTCATGAACATGTAAGTAGTTACTGTTTTAATTCTCTAAGTTTTGGGTTGGTTTTTTTTTTGTGTGTGTAACATAATAAGGGATCATAGAAACAGCACCCACTGTATTTAAACTCTTCATCCCAAAGTTTCCATTGATGTGCTCATATTAAAACCGAAAGGTCTCATTCTTCTTGTCTTCCACTATAGCACTTTAAGGATTTATAAACAAGTTTTCCTTAATATTTTGCCATTTGTTTTTTGTGTTCTTTGTACTTCTGTTTTCCCCCCTACATTTACATAGCTATCCCTTCCTCTTTCATTTTTGTTGGTTATTGTTCCTTAAATGTGAGTGTTCCTCCTAACATTAATCTGTTTTGCTCTCTATTTTTGTCTCCAACCAACATTATGAATATAAAAGTCATTAAATTCTGCCTTTTTCAGTCATTGTTCTACCTTCTAAACTAACAGGCTGCTACTAATTAGCTATTTAGCAATTACCTCAAATTCATCTCACACATGATCTTTGTAAGCAGACACTACCTCCCTGCTTGAGAGCAAGGTAAAAAGGTTGAAAACATTCCTGCCTTTGTTGTGACTTGCAAAGAAAATGAGTTCCAAATTAGGATGGAGGAAAGAAATCAGAAAAACATTCTGAAAGTGGCAGTACAGAAATCAAATCCCTGTCTATATATTGATGAGTGAAAGAATAAATGGAAAGGAAGGAAATAAAAAGGAATTTCAAATAATGGTTCCATATAATGTTTTTCCCATTGAGGTGAAATCAAACGTTAGAGAAGCACATTCCAAAACACACTCAGGAAGTTCCGCAAGTTTCAGAGTATTTGGTGACTCCTAAAATGGAAGAGAAGAATGCAACTCTAACAGGATCTTTTGGAAATACACTTTGTTGCTGCTGTGTTTTCCTGCTAAAAGAAACGATAAATCTAACCAGATTCATCCAATCCTACAAATGCTATTCATTACTGACAACCCAGGTAGGAAAAAAACGACACTGCAGGGGAAAAAAAAAAGCTTGATCATTTAGAGATGATAAAGTTAGGGGCTATGCCTTAAAAACTATCAGATTCTCAGTGCAGTGCTTGGCAAACAGGGACAAACCAGGAATTTTTGAGTGCAAGTCCCATCAAGAAACAACCTTCACCAACACAGGTAGTACATCCATCTCTTCTTTAACAGCTGAAGATTTGAAGAGAAATTAAGATATAAATAAATGAAGATGTGGCTACACAGATGAGAATATTCTTTTACTGAATCATGGATGAAGATGTGAGAATTTGCGACTCTTGGTTAGGAAGAACATGGTTTCCTAGAGATCTATTGATTTATTCAAGAACATATGAATTAGAAAATGGAGAGACACAAGAAAAATGTTCTCGTGTTAAAGACATCAAAAATGACAGAGAAAATAAACAGGTAGAGGGGAAGAGAAAGCATTGCATCACCTCTGCTTCCCTCAAGATCCATTTCTTCCAGGTCAGAGTGGCAACAAGTTAAAGCAAAGGCCAACTGACTATTAAATACTTGGAAGTACACTTCTGAGTAGAGTTCTCCTTTAACATATCAGCCAAAATTACACGGGCTCATTTTTAAACATATAAGGAAAACATCATCTGCACACATTATGAACGTTTGCTACTGACAGAATATACTAAGTCCTAAAACAGGGATACAATAAAATGCCCACACATATGGCATTAATTGATTTCTGTTTTAGAACCTTGATCATTAAGATGCCAGAAAAGCTATAGCTATAATCCTAAGATTTAGCTAGAAAACTCATAGCCAAAGCTCTCATGAATAAACAATGGATCCTCAAACAAGAAGAAAATATCACAGAATCTAATTCAACAGTGCATTAATAGTCAAGATCAAGTGACAGCCTAAATTGTTTCAGGCAACTATTCAATTATACTTCAGGGACTCCACATGGTATAACTCATCCCCATAAACCTTCTCCATTAGCATTCTTCACCTTCTACTAACCTTTCAGGTATCATCTAAAATGTTTATTCCTATTTAATTACTTGTCTTCCTGACTAAATCATAAACTCAGAGGGCAGAGTTTGAATCTGTCTTGCTTGGCAAACAATTTATGTTCAATATATTTTTGTTGATTAAAAGATGTAAGTATTGAAAGCAATATAGTGGGCTTCGAATCAAGAAATGCTAGGGCATTTTGCTGCTAAGAGAATGATTTTATCCTCTCTTCCTGTTGCCTAATATACATGATCTGATGATAAGGCTTTATTTCTATATTCCTGTTACCTCTTCAAATCTGCACAGAAAAGCCTTCATCTAAAAGCAGAATTAAATTTCAAAATTTTATCAGAATGTCAGTTATATTACCAATAAGTCTACAATAGTTTAAAAAAATAAGAATTTCAGCTAAAATCAAAAATTCATGGGGACTTCAAAGTTTATTCATAGCCAACAGGCCTTAAGACATACGTCTTTTTCTGTTAGATTGACATTCAAAAATGAACTCTATCTTCCAAATATACAAGTCTGAAAACAGAACATTTAATTATAATACTTTCAGTTCTCTTAGAAGATTTTTTAAAAGAATTAAACACTAATGACTAATAGCATTTTTAAAAAATACCTTCCATTCTCAAAAAAAAAAAAAAAAAAGAAAGAAAGCCATTATTCTTAATAATGGCTGTTGATACAAGGAAAATAAGGGAACCTAGGCCCAAAGTTAGAGCTACAGAAAAACAGAAGCCAAACAAAATAAACATGCAAATCTTTCAAAGTAAAAGTATTTTTAAATTTCAACCAAAATGTCATAGAACCTAATTAATATGTGAGCATCACTGGTAAATGTGGGATTAATTCCTAGCAAATGTTTAGAATGAATTAACAGAGCGGTAATTTCATCTCCAGGAGCCACAGTGGATTTACAACAACGAAGCAAGGTAATCTTTATGTCACTGTTTTGATAGAAGAAATATTTTGTAACTTAAGAGTTTCAAGCAACGCCCTACAGGGTCTTGCTTGAGATACTCAAGTGGAAATGAAAACAAGATAATAGTAAAGACAAGGGATCACAATTGTTGAATAGCAAACAAACAGTGCTGATTCAAGGTTCAGGCTAACAGATCTCCAGAGGTTTCCACAGTTGGCCTTATGCTACTCAACATAAATTATTAACAATTAATACAAAACACATCAGTCATACTTAATTTGCAGACAACGCAAGCTGTTCTTATCAGGTGCTAATATACAGAATTGCTAAATGAGATTTTGAGAACTCTATAAAGTTAATTAGATAAAATGTAGCATTCCTAGTTTTTTTTTTTTCCTTAATGCATTAACTACACACATACAATTGCACCTGAAAAAGTATAGCCTGAGAGGCATTTCATTTAAAGGCGTTATATGTGAAAATAGCTTTGGTTTCAGTCGCCTACAATCCAGTAATGAAATGTGGTTGCTAAAACAAAAATTCATTTCTGATGTTACAATTTAAAAGAAACAGAAAATTAGGAAAGCAAAAGGTCTGGAAACCATGACAAATAAAAGGAACAGTAAAATAAACCAAATATATTTAAATCTGGAAAAAAAATCATGAAGAATATGATAGTACTCCTACAATATATAACAGGTTACAACATAAAAGGAAGAAATATCTTTATATATGGCTCTAAGAAGAATAACTAGTATTAAGAAGATGTTGCTAAAAAAGATTTCAATTCTTTTATAAAGAATGAGCTACATAAACGTGGAAGGACTGGACTGCGATTTAGTAAATTTATCACAATAAATAAAAATACTTTAACAAAGAATGGATGTGGGAGACTCAACTTTGTGATTTTTTTCATCACTTTTAATGCTATAGCTTAAGGTAAATGACAAAAGTTTAAGATAGGAAAACATGGGATCATTTCAAAGAGGGGAAAAAAGAAAACAAATATTAGAGTTGACAATTGTGGAGATATTTAATCATAATAAAAATAAACTTCAAGTGAAAAATATGAGGTAAATTTAACAAAACAATTTTACCTAAGAAAGTTAAACACACGAGGAGGAAAAAAAATGAGGTTAACTAGGACAATCTGCACTGCTAGCACGTGACCATGGACGACAAAGAGGAACTAAGAATCATACTGCATGACCAGGTCAGCCCAATCACTTATAGTAAGAATATTTTTACAAGTGAAGTACAGGATGAAAACAAGTTTGATTTAGAAGAATAATTAGTTTGAAGTAGTATAAAGGTCTATAAGATTAACTCAAAAGGCTAAGTAGATTTCATTAAATGTGTGTGTATATATGTAAGCACAAAATGGGAAATAAGCAGTCGAATTTTAAAATGTAGTAAAATCACTATAGGCAAACCAATAGTGATCATTAAAATAGGAAAAATTACTCTAGAAGTATAAACAAAAAGCAAAAAATTGTTACTTGTTTTTAAATGAGGGCATAATTATTTTAACCTGTTATTTTTACTTATAATAATATTTAAAGTCTTTGTCAAAATTTCACTTTATACTAGAAAAACTTAATTTTAACACATGGCTCTTTATCCCAGCTTAACTGGGAAGTGAAGAAACCTGCGTCTCAGTCCTTTTTTTGAAGAAAAGCCAGGTGTTGTAGTATTTGTGACATTTAGATTTAAAGCAAAAGGCGGTATCCAAAATAGGTAAAATAATTACTTTTCCCATGTATTGTTTAAAATAAGACCTCCATTAACTTTTTGCAAGACTATCTTAGGTAACTATTCTGAAAACAGGAAAGGAAAATTGAAAAAAATTTTCATAGCCCAGCCCAATTAGTTAAGGAATACTTGAAAAGAGTGTTTTCCCAGCGCAAACTTTTTCTTCATTAAAGAACTTTACTTTCAAAGCTAAATAACTTTTTAAAAAGAAAGAAAGAAACATACAGGCATTAACAAAGTCATATGCCTTGTTTATTCTATTTATCCCATTTTAGTCTACCAACTTTAAATCACTCCAAATATTAAAGGTATGAACCCTCAAAGAATGAGTGAAGTATATTGGAGACCCCAAGACATTATGGCTCATCCACATTTCATCTCAAGATCTTAAGAGTTTTGGCCACAAGAGGCCCAAAGCAGGTCAACAGAAAGAAAATGTACTCACCAAAAATTTCTGGTTTTGAGGATAAAAATAAGACTAATTCAGCAATAACTATCTTTAATAACTTCATTACAAGCTGTCAAGTAAGAATCTCAAGCTTCTTTACTCATGTTTTGTCAAAAAGTTTTTATAATCAGCTTCCAAAGAGATTTTCTTCTTTAATGAAAATCATTCTTGGATATGGATTTAAGTCATACACATACAAAAAAAAAGGTCTTAAGTGCTGAGTACACTGGCTCATGCCTGTAATCCCAGCACTTTGGGAGGCCGAGGCAGGTGGATTACTTGGGGTCAGGAGTTACCAGCTTGACCAACATGGTGAAACCTCCTCTCTACTAAAACACAAAATTAGCTGGGTGTGGTGGTATATGCTTGTAATCCCAGCTACTAGGGAGACTGAGGCAGGAAAATTCCTTGAACTGGGAGGCACAGGTTGCAGTGAGCTGAGATCGCTCACCACAGCACTCCAGCCTGGGTGACAGAGCAGTGAGCTTTAAAAAGAAAAAAAAAAAAAATTGCAAAAAGACCCTCATGTTTTAAGAAAGTTAAAAAATTTGTGTTGGGTTGCATTCAAAGCCATCCTGGGCTGCATGTGGCCTGAAGGACGGGGGTCAAGCTTGGCTTAGAGATTGTTTATCTTCTTATGGGTGGGTGGGTGTCACATGAAAGCAAAAGAAAAAATAAGTTAACATTAATCTCCACAATAAAACTTTCAGTTACCCAGAACCATCCCAAGCAAATTTTGAACAATCAAGCATATATTTATGTATTTTAGAGACATCAAATATTTACTTTATTTACTTATTTATGTATTTTTAGAGACAGTCTCATTCTGCTGCCCAAGCTAGAATGCAGTGGTGTGATCACAGTTCACTGCAGACTCAAACTCCTAGGCTCAAGCAATCCTCCTACCTCAGACTTCCGAGTAGCTGGGATACAGGCATGCATCACCATGCCCAGCTAAGGGGTCTTAACTATGTTTGCCTAGGCTGGTCTCAAATTCCTGGGCTCAAGTAATCCTTCCAGGTTGGCTTCCCAAAGTGCAAGGATTACAGGCATGAGCTGCCATGCCCAGCCTATGTTTGTTTCAAATAACCTTATTATCTCTTGCATGATCATTCATACACCTGTATCCAAAAGTATGTTTTTGGGAAGCCCTACTCTATCTATCTCTGCTAATAGTAGACAATTAATAAATTTTTGCCAAACTCAAGAATCTTGCAACAACTTCGAGGGAAGACAATCTCATGATTCCAAATGGTTTTCCATCACTTTCACCATGCAAGCGGCAAAGGCTGTTAAATTAAAACTCTTATTATCTGAAAAAAGACAGTTAATGAGAAGGATACTGAAAAGGAAATATCCTGGACTTTTCTGATTTCTGCACCTTGGCTCATAATTCCTTCTAACTAGAAGGCACATCTGTACTAGTGGAAATCTGAAATAAGGATGAGCCCAATGCCATCTCCTTTATAACATGTTCTTCAATCCCCAGAGTGTGGATTAATTTTTTTCATCTTGATATGCTCATGTCAACTCATTTATGGCATATCAATTATTGGATCAAAGTTATATTTTATATATATTAACATATTGATAAAGTTGGTATTAGCTGGTGAGAAATATACACATATTTTCTAGTTCCTTAGTGACAGGGCCATCATTGTATAATATTAACAGAGTGCTCACACATAGAAGGCACAAGGAAATGTTTTGTGAATGAGCTCCACTGCAGGCTGGAAAGCCTAGAAAATAAGAATACTTTCTCTAGAAAAGTAGTTATGTCATTGATTTATTCTAACACATACTAAGCAACTCAACCAGGATGACATGCTAAGATTGTACAGAATGCCACGTAGGTTCAAGCATGACAAATTAAAAATATATAAATTAATTTCATTGGAGGTTGGAAAAGAGTAAGAGAAGTTCTCACTCTAAGTTTTATAAGGCTGGCCAGGTACAGTGGCTCAAGCCTGTAATCTCAGCATTTTGGGAGGCTGAGAAGGGTGAATCACCTGAGGTCAGGAGTTCGAGACCAGCCTGGCCAACATGGTAAAACCCTGCCTCTACTAAAAGTACAAAAATTTGCCAGGCATTATGGTGCATGCCTGTAGTCCCAACTATTTGAGAGGCTGAGGCAGGAGAATCACTTGAACTCAGGAGGTGGAGGTTGCAGTCAGCCGAGATTGCACCATTGCACTCCAACCTGGACGACAAGAGTGAATCTCCATCTCAAAATTAAATAAAATAAAAATACATTTTACAAAGCAATACCATATATTTAGGGAAGACCACTGTTATTTTTAACGGAAAACATATATGTCCAATATATATAGATATCACCCAATAGAAGAATAAAGAGGTTGGACTGGCACAGGAACTACTAGAAAACAGAATAATGTATGACTTTCAGGGCATGATTTATAAAGACCTCTTTTATGCCAGGGGCAGTGGCTCACGCCTATGATCCCAGCACTTTAGGAGGCCAAGGCGGGCAGATCTCTTGAGGTCAAGAGTTAGAGACCAGCCTGACCAACATGGTGAAACCCCATCTCTGTTAAAAATACAAAACTTAGCCAGGTGTGGTGGTGTGCACCTGCAATCCCAGCTACTCAGGAGGCTGAGGCAGGAGAATCACTTGAACCTGGGAGGCGGAAGTTGCAGTGAGCTGAGATCATGCCACTGCACTCCAGCCTAGGCAACAGAGCAAGATTCCATCTCCCCCCCAACCTCCAAAAAAAGACCTCTTTTACATGCTGAAAAAATAAAAGGTGACGTGTCGTGCAGAATGCCACTTCAAATAGTCTGAAAAAAATGTGTGTGTATGGTGTTTGTTATACTATTCTATCATCTTTTCTCTAAGTTTGAAATTTTTCAAAAGAAAAAATTAAAAAAAAAAAATCCCTTACACCTATAAGGAAATCTGACTAAGTATATTCCCATCAGAGGAGACTGTGAGAGAAAAAAGGAAGTCTTAAAATACATACTCCTATGTTGAGACTGATGGAAAGAGTATGATTTGCTCCTTTCTGGAGAGTAGCTTCTGCTACTGACACTGGAGCCAGATCTGCTGTGTGGAGAATCCTTTCGGCCACCAGGTGATTCTCTGAAAAAAGCATTGTCTCTTTTATGCGGAGACCGCTCTCTTGCATAATGGGAGGAGTAGAAACTTTTTCTTCTAAAGCCATCTCTCATGTCCCTTTGAAAAAAAACAAAAAAACATAAACTGAGTTAATCATACTCTGTACCCTATATATACAAACACAATGGCAAAAGCTCTCATTCTAAGCAACCTTTAAACTGTACTCTTGGTTCTCTTTTCTTATCACTACCTAACTGATGAAGTCAGTTAAAATGAAACAGTATCAGTGAAATATGATTTAGAATGCACCATTTTTCAGTTTGGAACAGAACCTGGTGGCTAAGTGCAAAAGTTACTTTATTTCAGGCAAGCATAAATCCTAAAATGTAAAAAACATATGGTCATATAGTTTCTACTTCAATTTGCCATTAATGATACACTACACAGCTGCTGCATTCTCAAAAACACTTAGAAATGCCAAAGGTTTCCCAAGTAAGACCCTTCATGGCCAGTTATCCCCTTCTATGTACAGAAACTACCAGTTTTCAAGGGATATACAATTTTGCCCACCCACCCCCAGGACAATTTGGCTTTGTCTACAGGTATTTTTGATTATCATAACTAGGGAGGAGAGTACCATTGATGTGTAAGGGACAGGAATGCTGCTAATTTCCTACAGTGCCCAGGACATGCCCATCGACACTACACACCAAAAAAACTCTTCAGTCCAAAATGTGAATAATTTCCAACACTGAGAAACCCTGCTATATGCCTATTAAATTCTTCCTGAGTTTGTATCCTCAGTACATAGATTGTTGCCCATCTCTAAATAACTACTTTTTATAAATCACGTCTACTTTTATAAATTAAATTTCTTGAGAAATATCAACTAAAAGCACCAAGTAAGCCCTAGTAGTAAAGCCTTATAAAGCAAAACCATTTTAAAATGTCAAAGCAAATCATAATTACTAAATAAAACCATCATCAACTGAGCCTCCATTAAAAGAACAGCTAAGAGTCAAACAGATTTTGGCTGGGTGTGGTGGCTCAAGCCTGTAATCCCAGCACTTTGCGAGGCCAAGACGGGCGGATCACTTGAGGTCAGGAGTTCGAGACCAGCCTGACAAACATGGAGAAACCCCATCTCTAGCAAAATTACAAAATCAGCTGGGTGTTGTGGCACATGCCTGTAATCCCAGCGACTTGGGAGGCTGAGGCAGGAGAATTGCTTAAACCTGGGAGGCAAAAGTTGC